CTGTGTGTGTGTGTGTGTGTGTGTGTGTGTGTGTGTGTGTGTGTGTGTGTGTGTGTGTGTGTGTGTGTGCGAGCGGGCGTGTGAAACCCCACTAAATCTTGTTGTTATTGCTGTTGATGTGATTTCTTATACATAAGTATGACACGTGTCAACGTACCACTATGCACATCTGTTAGGACATGTCTGAGAGGTGCCAGAGGTCTGTCTGAGAACACGTCTGCCTTTTTGACCAGCGCCTCTTTCAGTACCTCATGGCCGTTCAGAAACACCATGTTAGTGCTGCCCATTCGAAGCATGAATATGTCACCCAACCTGTAACGCGTATGGCAATGAATATATTTGTATACAGTCGAACTTGCCTAAGAGGACCACTTATTATAGATGGTCATATTACATAACGTCATTACAGAACATAGAAAAATAAAATGAGGAAGTGGTAAATGGTTATTTGTACATAATATGGTTGTCTTGGACAGCTGGTTTGGATGTACTCAGAAAACCATAAATGTTAATATTCATCGCTACATTTAATATAAACAATCATTTGGAAACTTTATTTGCGTGAACATCAAGGAGCCGAAAATTTTATTAATGTCACGACCATGGGGCAAACCAAAAAGTAAATTTGTAGTGGTCCTTTTTGGAGTTCCCATCCAGTATTAATACGAGTAATAATAATAATGTAGGTCATAATTTCTATAGATCCCACTTCCGTGTGGACACAGCTCTAGGCGCTTTACATAAATGGATGTACGAACAATATTCTACACACACACACACACACACACACACACACACACACACACACACACACACACACACACACACACACACACACACACACACACGCTCACGCACACATTACACGAGTGCACACATGCACGCCACACACACGCTACTATAAAGAATATCCCGATCACACCCGTAAAATGAAGTGTTAAAGAGAACAAGACAGAGCCAAGTCACAGATGAGGTGGGAAGAAGGTGGTGGCGATGGATTGGACATATTCTCAGAAAGTCAGGCAGCTGCATAACAAGGAAAGAGACGGATTGGAACCCCTAGGGTAAAAGATCAAGGGGAAGACAACTTTCAACTTGGAGAGAGGTCACAGACATTGGTGTACAGAAAAGTGGGAATACATGGAATAACATCAAGAGGCTAGCCCAGGATAGGCAAAGGTGGAAAGTGTTTGTTCGTGGCCTATACCCTGGTCCGAGATGGGAAAGGCGATGATGATGCAACAAGTCCTGAAGATGGAGACAAACAAATGCCCTCCATATACATACATACATAATCATTTGAAAATTCCAAACCATGATTACACATACACACACACACGCACACACACACACACACACACACACACACACACACACACACACACACACACATACATACACACGCGCACCCGCGCGCACACACATACTCTTTCACAATAATTCTCACTTCCACACCCATCTGTACACATACACATATAATGTTATGCTTCCACTCACAATCAGACCCCCGTCACACGCTGTATATAAATGAACATTTATTAACAATATTAGTGTTTAAGCTGGATATAATCAGTATTCTGGTAGTAACCCGAAGATACTTCAATACCACATGCTTGAAGGTCATAAGAATACGTATAACTCACTCTTCTCTCCATTTCTGCAAAAGCTCTATGGGGTTTTTCTTCATCATGTACAGATGTCCAACAATGGGCAAAGCCAGGCCTGGAGATGGTGGAAGTTTTCTGTTGTCCCTCTCGGATGTCAGGAAGTAAATAAGTGTGACCACGCCCACTATCACCAGCAGCCAGGACGTGGCGCTCAGAGACAGGACCGTCTCCAACAACATGGCGAGGGGTTCTGGAGATAGAATTCCATCAGCCAGTCAGGCAACAAACAAATCAACGAACCAGCCAGTGAGTTATCCACCCAGCCACCCAGCCAAATCTTTCAGTCAATCAATAATTTCTACATTGATGCCGTCATCAACAGCTGGATTTATCTGAAAGAGTGAAACATTAAAATTTTGTCTACGTAAAAATAAATAGCATTTGTATAGCTCACGTCCCTGCAAAACAGCAAGCTCTATGCGCTTTACAATCTATACTATTACTCCAGCAGACCTGAGAGCATTCTGAAACAAACTCCACTTCCTGGGAAGCATACAGTTCAAGCTGCCATTTATGGGCGCTAAAACACTAACATACTGACAAGATCTTTCGCTGTCTATGGCCGGGTACTCACTCCCACCTGGGTGAAGAGAGGAAAATTCGTGTAAAGTGCCTTTCCCAAAGACACAACGTCGCGCCCACGCTTCTAACCCCCCGAACCTGCAACTTCACGATTACGAGTCAGGTAGCCAAGCCGACTGCTATAAGAAATGATAAATTCCACAAAGTGTATCAAATGAGAAAGACAGCGGGCAAGGGAAAAACAAACAAAAATATGTCAGATAAGGAAGACATTGTAAAATAAACACAATTTAATTAATGGGTCGCCACCACTCGGAGAACGAGCGACGCTTCTGTCGCAAATTCATGTTCACGTCCATTCACGTCCATTGTTAAAGAATGGGTAAACAGTGACCGGTCACCTCACTTTCGATTTGAGTTTGAGTTGCGGACGGGGCTTTTAGGTTATGACCAAGGTGGTTACAGTGTTTTGACGGACGACATGAGAGAGAATGTGTGTGTGTGTGCGTGCGTGTGTGTGTGTGTGTGTGTGTA